ACTGATGAAGTCCTTATAGTCAGAATATAAAAAGAACTGACTACACAGGAAAACAAGTCAGTTAGAAAAATGAGCAAATTATTTGAACAAACAATTCACCAGAAAACATGCAGATGACAAATAAGCCTGTGAAGATTCTCAATATAATTTGTCATTAGGTAAATGGAAATTAAAACACTGTAAGATACTACTATTCATCCAAAATTAAAAGCCTGATCACTCCAGTAACAGTTGAGTATGTACAGCAACGCAACTAACATTCTCATACATAGTTAGTGGGAAAGTAAAATGGTAAAACTACTACAGAAACCTGCTTGGCAGCTTCATAAAAGTTAAATATTTACCTATTATATGATCCAGCTGTGATCTCTTAGAACTCGAGAAATGAAAAGATGTCCATACAAAAATTTTACATGCATTTCCATAAGGATTATATCATGTATAAAACTAGAAACAAAACCCAAAATATCCATCAAAATAAGAATGGAGAAACAAATTATCATATTCGTGCAGTGAAGGTGCCTTGTAGGTCAGTCTTATATTCGTGCAGTGGATACTACTTGGAAATTAAGTGGCATTGAATATATTGTTCTGAGACCTGGCTAAGTTTGCTTAGTAGTTCTGGTAGCTTTTTATAAACTGCATCTGATTTTCTCAGACAATTATGGAGCCTGAAAGTAAGGAGAGTTTTAATTCTGCACTTGTAATCTGGATGGTTTTATTACTTTTTTTTTCTGCCTGATATTAAAAGTAATTATGCTAATTACACTAGACAAAAATAGCCATATACTGTAGACAGTTTTTTATAAAATTCTAGAAAGTTCAAATGCATCCAAAGTAAAAGAACACAGATCATTTTCTGGAGAAGCAGGAGGCATTGGGAAGTAAGGATTAAAAATGAATATGAGATTTGATTTATATAAGGACATACATAGGCTGAAAGTGACAGGATTAGAAAAAAAGATATCTCATGCAAATGGGAACCAAAAGGGAACAGAGGTGACCATATTTATTTATATTTGAAAAAAATGCAATTTAATTTAAAAATGGTCACAAGAGACAAAGAAATAAACAATGTAAGCAGAAAAGGGCAACTTCATTAGGGATTATAAATACATATTCAGGGATAAGAGCAAAGGACACAAATAAAAGGCAAACATTTGCAGAACTGAAGGTATATTTTAGTCCTTTATTTTCAAAAATGAATAGATCAACCGGAGAGAAGGTCAATAAAAAATAGGATGAAAGATATCAAGTATTGATGAAGATTGAGACAAAAGCCCTTATACACTGTTGGTCAAAATGTGAATTAGCACAGCTATTATGGAAAACTGGATGAAGCTTTCTCAAAATACTAAAATTAGATTTACACTGTGATCCAGCACTCTAACTGCCAGATATTAACCCAAAAGATATGAAACCATTATGTCAAAGAGTATCTGTGTTCCCATGTTCATCACACTATTATTTACTGCAGCCAAGTTATGGAATCAACCTAAGTGGTTGTAACATATGAGTGGCTAAAGAAAATGTGGCTTCTTCTTCTTTTTTTTTTTTTTTTTTTTTTTTTTTTTTGACAGGCAGAGTGGACAGTGAGAGAGAGAGACAGAGAGAAAGGTCTTTTTTTTCCGTTTGTTCACCCTCCAATGGCCGCCGCAGCCAGCGTGCTGCGGCCAGTGCACCGCGCTGATCCTAAGCCAGGAGCCAGGTGCTTCTCCTGGTCTCCCATGTGAGTGCAGGGCCCAAGCACTTGGGCCATCCTCCACTGCACTCCTGGGCCACACAGCAGAAAGTTGGACAGGAAGAGGAGCGGCCAGGACAGAATCCGGCGCCCTGACCGGGACTAGAACCCTGTGTGCCAGCGCTGCAGGTGGAGGATTAGCCTATTGAGCTGCGGTGCCGGCGAAAATGTGGCTTCTAAACAGAATACTATCCAATCATACACACACACACACACACACACACACACCATGACAAAATGCCATCATTTGCAGAAAATGACTGAAACTGGAGATTATAATATTAAGTGAAGTATGCCAGGCACAGGGAGACAAATACTGCATGTCTTAGTAACATGCAGAATCTAAAAAATCGAACTCAAACAAGCAAAGAGCAGAATAGTAGAGAATTATGAGATTCTGCGTGGGGATTAGGGGAATAGGAGGATGATGGTCAGGGGTTACAAAGCTTCAATTAGACAGCAGAACTGTTGTCAAACAGATATAGAATTACAATTTTGCAAGATGAGAAAGTTCTAGAGATCTATTACACAAGGTGCATGTAGCTACTTCTGCATTATACGTTTAAATCATTAATTCGGTAAATTTTATATCATGTCTTTTACCACAATAGAAAAAAAGGGACATGAGGAAACTTTCAGGTCATCTGCATAATTTTTTTCATAGATGTCATCATATACCAAATCTTATGTTTTTTAAATATGTGCATTTATTTATATTTAACTGTATCTCCATAAAAGTATTTGAAAATAAACAGTAACAAAATAAAAATAAACAGTATACCCTCATTTTTGTTCAGATTTGATCTGCTATTTCCCGTAGAACTACTTGATTTACGTTCTTGGTCATTCTTAGCGTTTCAGGTTGTTAGTATTTCTAACATGGAACTGAATATATCTATAATGTGCCTACTAAATTCTACAAATTCTTGCAGTTTTAGCAAAAGTATACTTTCTAAAAAATTCAGAATAAAGTGAATGGGCTCAGTTATATGAGATCTGATAGCATGTTAACACACACATATCCGCACATACTAAAATACACACACAAACACACACAATGTTACAATCTTCACTCCCTCATCCTCATTCCTTCATAATTTCTAAGAACAGATTCACTAAGTGGTGCCTGGCAGTAGCTGCTTATACAGTGGGGTTGTGGTGCTAAGACAGAGGGTTCTGGAGGAACTTAGATCCAACCAAGAGCTAATTATAATGACAATTACAGAAGTCCTGCACTGCTATTCAATGTTGCAATTTTTACAATGAAGACTTATGATAATTTCCCTGTTCTAGTCAAGGTCATTCAGAACATAACTTAGGACTTCACATATCAGGTTGGGGCATGTTCTGATAAGGGAAACTTCCCAGGGAGAAAACATAGTGCCAATGCCTACTAAATAAAGACCCATTATTGTCACTGAAGTCTTGGGGACAGGTATTTGGTATAACTGTGATCTCTGCTTCCCATGTGGCAGAGAAGGTATTCTTTCTATCAACACACTGTCATTTCAGTCTATCAGGGTTACTTTTTATCATGAACACAGAATCTCTGTTAGACTGTTTTTGACTAGTATTCCTAGAATTTGTCAGGACAATCAAGAATATTTCAAAATATACTGATGTTAATCAACACTAATGTGAGCTATGCCTTCATCTTGAGGTGTCAACTACCTACAGCATTACATATGGACCTTGGAGATAGTTCAGTGTGTCTGTGTTCACCAGCTTTGGGAGATGAAACACACTGGATGTATTTGGATAAAGATAAACATTGAGTAAATCGGAATAATCTTTGCAAACTCCAGATGTTTCTAATAGCTGTATATTTGCCTTTGTTTTTAGACTCAAACATCTGGCTGATTACATTTTTCTGTGGCTTTGGTAGATACAAGCATAGGCATGACCAATGTAAAATAATGACAAATATAATCATTTTTTAACTTTGTAACATTGACAAAGTTAAGAATACATATGGTTTACTTTTATATGTTTAAATAAAATTATAACATAAAAATGAGATGGAATTATAGGTGATTTGTGTATTTAATTTATTTAGTTAAGAATTCTAAAAAATATCTTGAAAAACACATCCTCACAAATAAAATAAGTGGAACAGAAACGATTGAAAATGCAATAGTAGCAAGGAATTAGAGAAAAATGAGAAGACAAACAGAAAAAATGGAAAAAAAGCTTCAATGTACATTATTTTTCAGGAAATCTTTCCAATTGCATGTAATATGAACACTAGTGTTTCTTTGAGGCTGAACATGCATGAAATTTGACATTTAGTTAGTATGTAGTTTGTTGCAAGCATTCTGGTGCATCATATGCATAGACTATTCCCCAAGGAGGCATTTGCAGCTTGTAGCTTTGGAAGGGTTAAAGTTTAACTACCTTTCTGATCATTTAATGCACAGGATAAACAAGGAGAAGGGCTCAGAAGTAGGGTCTAATTTTCAGTATGATGAAACTTTATATTGAAGTCATTTCAAAATTACAAAAATGTTCAAAATAATACTAGAGTTCTCAAATGCCCATTATCTGATTTCATATTTTTAACACCTTGTATAACCATAGTATAATGATCAAAATTAAAAAAATAATAAAATTTCTATCTAGTCTACTAGTCTATAGACCATATTCATGCTTTGTAAAGCAATTTTTTTCCCTAGGTCAGGAATCATATACTAGCACTATGTATATATATATGAAAGAAGTGTCATATCTTCTTTAACCTGGAACAAACATCTAATTTTTCTTGGTCTTTATGATAGTGCGATTTTGAAGAGTGTTGGCCAGTAATTTGCACAGAATGGTTCTCAATTTGGACCTGTCAGGCGTTTCACTATTTATGGCCAAGTTGCTTTTCATTAAAGTAATACCTATATATACTTTTTTTTACCAACAATATTTGAAAATGCTCATTTTGTTATATTTTCATCAGCCATTATTAACATTTGTGAAAATTCTTGTGAGATCAAAAGAAGAGCATGTACTTCTGCTTTAATACATTGTACTACTGTTTTTATATCATTTAGTTTATTAAATTTACATGTTCATATTTCTTTGTGAAACACTTTTTCCCTAGGTACTATGGCAAACTATGGCAGAGCATTAGTTCTATTTTCTTCTGGACACTTGACCTTTTATTCATAGAATGCATTCCCCACTCTCCCTTGCAGTTGGTATGGCTATGAGACCAAATTTTCAACAATTGAACAGAGTGGAAGAAATGTATTCAATATTCTCTTGTATACAGGTGATGCTGTCCTCTTGTGCCCCAGTGCTTGAGAACCTGGTGAAGTGGCAACCTAGCTTAAATGTGCTTACATACAATGCTCCCAGGAAACTGACTGATGGACAGAAGAAGCTTCAGTGATCAATGGCTCAGAGCTAACTGGTCAGTCTCTTTATTCTCATATGAAAAAGAAATAAAATTCTATCTTATTGAAACCATTTTATGTTGTCATTTTCATGGCAACAGCTTGATCGCTATCCCCATTTTTATTATATGGCCTCATATTTTTCTCTGTGATCTTTATCGTCTGTTTTTTAAACTACTAGCTCTATTTTATGTTACAGATATTTCTCACAATTTGTCACTTGCTCTTTAACATGGTTTGAGAGATTTGAATATATAAAACATAAAATTGTTAAGTATAAAAATTAATATTTCCTTTATGCTTTATTTTATTGTATTTATCTAGAGATAGCTCTATTCTGGCCTTTGAGCAAATATTTTTTTCTATTAATGTGACCAGAAAGTTACACTCAGCTATCCAAACACACACAAGTTTATATATCAAAAAATTGTGTTTGTCTCCTTAGTCAATGGTGTTGGTCAATCGTATATGCAGGCCGGTGCCGCGGCTCAATAGGCTAATCCTTTGCCTGCGGCGCCGGCACACCGGGTTCTAGTCCTGGTCAAGGCCCCAGATTCTGTCCTGGTTGCCCCTCTTCCAGTCCAGCTCTCTGCTGTGGCCCAGGAGTGCAGTGGAAGATGGCCCCAGTGCTTGGGCCCTGCACCCGCTTGGGAGATCAGGAGAAGCACCTGGCTTCCGGCTTCGGATCAGCACAGTGCACCGGCCGCGGCGGCCATTGGGGGGTGAACCAACGGCAAAGGAAGACCTTTCTCTCTTTCTTTCACTGTCCACTCTGCCTGTCAAAAAAAAAATTATGAGATGATACACCTGCTAATATTCAATAGTGTAAAAGAGCACTTCAAACAGTGCACAGAAAATGGCATTAAAAGATATATTTACTTTGATCCAAAAGCTTTTTAAAATTCATACACAGTTTTGTCAAAATATGCATTTTCCATGAATTTTCAAAGATTCCTTATATATATAATTCAAAAATTGTTGCATCTTAGTTTCATATTTATAGTTATATTTTAATAACTGTTAATTCCAAATACTGAATAGAAAAAAAACAAAAAATTTGAATTTATCGTGATCTACATTGTAGAGAGGATCGTTGACAATTTAGTGAATACTCTTTCAGATCTTTTTCTTGCCTTTTTCTCATCTTTCTTTTCTCCATATTTTTAACATTAAAATTTTTTGTTTAACAATAATTGTACATATTGTATGGGTTATAGTGTGACATTTCAATACATGCATAAATGTGTTCTGATCAAATTAAGGCACTTAACATTTCCCTCTCTTTGTCATTATTTTATGGTTTACTTATTTGTTTTTAAGCGAAAGGCAGAGAGACTGAGGAAGAGAGAAAGGCACAGAGAAAGAGGAGGCTCCATCTGCTGGTTCCCTCCTGACAGCCATGCTGGGCTGATGTTAAAGCCAGGAGCTGGGAATTCAATCTAGATGCCCCACATGGGTGTCAGGAATCCAATTACTTGAACCATCACCTCCCCATCCCAGGGTCTGCAGGAGGCTGGAGTCAGGAACCAGAGGCAGGCTTCAAACTCAGGCACTCCAATAAGTGACATGGCTGTCTTAATTGGCATCTTAACCACAAGGCCAAATTTTAGCCTTATCATTATTTTATTATTGGAGTGCTGGAACTTCTCTCTTGTGTGTTTGTTTTGTTTGTTTTTGTTTTGTTTTGCTTGTTTTAGATGATTTATTTATTTGAAAGACAGAGAGTTACAGTGAGAGATGGTGAGCAATGGTGAGCGATGGTGGGGGGAGGTGCAGAGAATTCCATCCACTCATTCACTCCCCAGATGGCTGCAACAAAGCCAGGAGCCTGGAACTCCATCTAGATCTCTCACTTGGGTAGCAGAGACCCCAGTATTTGGGTTGTGTTCTGCTGCTTTTCCAGGTGCATTATCAGGGTACTTGATTGGAAGTGGAGCTTCGGGGACTAGAACTAGCACCTATATGAGATACCGGGGCATCGCAGGCAATGGCTTAAACCACTGTGCCGCAGTGCCAGCCCCTCCTTTCTTCTATTTGCTTAGAAAATATATAATGAGTTATTGTGAACTATAATCATCCCACTGTGCTGTGTAACACTAGGAACTGATTCCTTCAATCTGGCTGATGTGGTACCTTCAGACAACCTCCCTTTACTCTCCCCCCATTCCTCCCAGCCTCTGGTATTGACTCTTCTCTGTTCAGATTGAGGTTTTTCAGGTTCCACACATGAGAGAAGAAATGAGCTATTTGCCTTTATGTGTTCAGCTTATTTTAGTTAACGTGGCACCATCCAATTAGATCTATTTTCCTGCTAATGACAGGACTTTATCCTTTTTTATCACTGAATAGTATTCCATTGGACATATATTATGTTTACTTTATCCACTCATATTAACTTTCAGACATTTTCCAACCAACTAAAAATTTAAAATCAACTAGGGAAATCAACTAAAATGTTATATCAATTATTTATTTTTCTAGGAAAGAGTAATAGGTATTATTTTGTAATTTTTTATTGCATCATAAATGCTTTAAACAGAAATTTCTCTACTTAAATAAAAATTAATCTAAAATTAAATTGATTTTGAGGACTTCATGACATCCCTGGGTAATATTGACCCCTTGAAAGAGTTTGAAAGCATATTGAAAACTCCTTGTAATGGAAGATTCTAGGCAACAGCTAAATATTCTAGTGACTTTGCTAACACTACCATATGCTCAAGTTTTCTCAATTCAAACCACACGGGTGAATGGAGCTTGAAAAGAAATTAAGTCCGAAGGCACTCTCCTGTTTCTTGGCTTCATATTTTAAAATTATTGTTTTCTTTTTTTTTAACTTTTATTTAATGAATATAAATTTCCAAAGTACGACTTATGGATTACAATGGCTTCCCCCCCCATACCGTCCCTCCCATCCACAACCCTGCCCTTTCCCACTCCCTCTCCCCTTCCATTCACATCAAGATTCATTTTCGATTATCTTAATATACAGAAGATCAGCTTAGTATACATTAAGTAAGGATTTCAACAGTTTGCTCCCACACAGAAACATAAAGTGAAAAATAATAGATGATTTTTTTTAAATGATGATGAAATCAGATCAGACCTATTGTCATGTTTAATCCCAGTGAGAGTCAAGTTGGGAGTTGATAATTTCTTTTTTTTTTTTTTTACAGAAGATCAGTTTAGTATGCATTAAGTAAAGATTTCAACAATTTGCACCCCCATAGAAACACAAAGTGAAATATATTGTTTGAGTACTCGTTAGAGCATTAAATCTCAATGCACAGCACATTAAGGACAGAGATCCTACATGAGGAGTAAGTGCACAGTGACTCCTGTTGTTGACTTTACCAATTGACACTCCTGTCTATGGCATCAGTAGTCTCCCTATGCTCCAGTCATGAGTTTCCAAGGCTATGGAAGCCCTCTGAGTTCTCTGACTCTTATCTTGTTTAGACAAGGTCATAGTCAAAGTGGAGGTTCTCTCCTCCCTTCAGAGAAAGGTACCTCCTTCTTTGAAGACCTGTTCTTTCCACTGGGATCGCACTCACAGAGATCTTTTGCCAGAGTGTCTTGGCTTTCCATGCCCGAAATACTCTCATGGGCTTTTCAGCCAGATCCGAATGCCTTTAGGGCAGATTTTGAGGCCAGAGTGCTGTTTAGGACATCTGCCATTCTATGAGTCTGCTGAGTATCTCACTTCCCATGTTGGATCACTCTCCCCTTTATTTATTCTATCGGTTAGTGTTAGCAGGTACTAGACTTGTTTATGTGCTCCCTTTGACTCTTAGTCCTTTCATTATGATCAATTGTGAACTGAAATTGATCACTTGGAATAGTGAGATGGCATTGGTACATGCCACCTTGATGGGATTGAATTGGAATCCCCTGGTTTGTTTCTAACTCTATCATTTGGGGCAAGTCAGCTTGAGCATGTCCCAAATTATACATCTCTTCCCTCTCTTATTCCTACTCTTATGTTTAACAGGGATCACATTTCAGTTAATTTTCAACACTTAAGAATAACTGTGTATTAATTACAGAATTAAACCAGCCCTGACTGTTAATGAACAACTTAATACATTATCCCTCTTAGTAGTTTTTTTGTCTGTTCTACTTAATAAAATTATTGTTTTCTAATCATTAAAAATTTAAAGAGATACCTTGGAGAGGGCACTTTTGTGTCTTCTGACTCGTCTCTCTGGTTAGGACTGTGATCTCTTGCTTCCAGCCTCACTTTAGCCAACTTAATTTTAAGCCACATGACAAGCTAAATAAAAATGAAACTCAGAAGATCCATGTGGTAACCAGCTTAGCAGGCACTCAGCAGAAAATTAGGAGTTGCAGATACCAGAAGTGAAGGAAATGAGACTGACCACATCATATGTCAAGTCTGGGTTCTCGGAGGTGGCCTCGGATCTTCTCATCAGCATCACTTAGCTGTCTTCAATGCTAAACCCCATTTAGTCCTTGAGCCCAAGTTTAGTGAACCAGATTCTCCAGAAGTAAAGTAAAGGAATTTATGCAGCCCTTGGTTCTTATGTGCGCTAAGATTTAAACACCAAAGTTTACACTAGTTGTGAAGTTTAGTCTGTTTATATGATATCCACGTACTGCTAGTCTTTAGCCCCTTCTTTGGTACATCATCTGAAGCAAGCCTCATGACTGGTCATGAGGAAATCAGGAGGATCGTTTTGGGTGGGTGTGCATCTTTGGAAGCAGGTTGACAACACACAGCCTAGACCTGGAACACGTGTGCTGTGTATCAGGTTCCTGGACACAAACTGGGTCAGAATTTCGGAGACATTAACTATAGCTATACTAAGTCATGGCTTACAGAGGAATCACTTCTAGGATGGAAACCCTGAGGAATGTATCTGTTGAAGGTGTAGCGTCTATTGTTTGTGGTCAGGGGAAACTAGCTAAAGAGGTAGGGAGCTAACTGTGCTAACCAACAAATAGGAATTGTGCCCTGACATACTCCAGGCCTGGGTCATCAAAACAACAGAATTCT